GTCCCACATACAGCAACTAGAAGGATGTGCAGCTATGACATACAACTATCTACTGGGGCTTTGGGGGAAAAATAAATAAATAAAATTATTAAAAAAAAATAAAAATAAAAAAATAATTATAAATGTTAAAGGGCCTGTCAGAGTTAGGCAGAGTGAACAGAGCCCATGGAAGGATGTGTTATCCTTAAGAACATTAGAAAATACACATGGTGTCGTGTCTAGGAGCCAAGCTTTACCACCATTACTTATACCTGAGTGTTTCTGATGCTAAGAGATTGATAATCAGCTTTTAAAAGACAAATACCTTAGGAAAGGTGAGATATGACAGAAAAAAGTGATTGACAGATGGCGGCATGTGCTTAGATATGTGCAGAAATTCTTAAACCAAAAATTGCATTCCTAAAATATCCCTGACAAAAAAATTACTCAAAGATGCAGAAATGATGATAAATAATCCTATTTGTCAGCAACTCATCTGTACCTACACTGTCTGAGTATGTATGTTCTTGTTGTAGAGAGGGCAATAAGAAGCTTTTGCAAACTACAGAAGCTTTTAGGTCTCAAATAATTTGGCTAATTGAGAATAACATGCTGTTTTTGGTAAATACCTCCATTGGAGACCCAGCTTTTTACTTATTAGCCAAGACCTTTAACAATTTAATTTTTCTTCCTTGTTCATTATTTATTTATTTATTTTTTGGAGGAAGGTTGGCCCTGTACTAACATCTGTTGCCAATCTTCCTCTTTTTCTTTTTTCTCCCCAAAGCCCCAGTGCATAGTTATATATCCTAGTTGAAGGTCCTTCTAATTCCTCTTTGTGGGACACCGCCTCAGCATGGCTTGATGAGCGGTGAGTAGGTCCTTGCCTAGGATTCGAACTGATGAACTCCAGGCTGCCAAAGCGGAACACACAAACTTAACTGCTACGCCACCGGGCCAGCCCCTTCCTTGTTCATTTTTAGAATTGCTAGCAACATATATCTCATAGATGACTTTGAACGTGAAGTGAGAGAGTGTGTGTAGAGAAGTCTTTTGAGAATTGGACAGTATAGTTTTTTAGATGTGTCTTGAGCTAAGCAGTATGTCATCCCTTGTTTAAATGGGATTAAGTTCTATTTTATTATTTTTCTCTCTACCTTTAATGAGATTAACACAAAGTTCTTCTGGAAAATATATTCTAACAGGTGTATTTAAGAAACATTATTTTGCTTATTGCAAGGCAGAGGGAACTTACCATTTTCATCATGTTAAACTCTTCTGAAAGTATTGGTACTTCATTTGGTTGTGAAGATCACTAAATAGTTCTGTGTGCATTGGAGCAGTTAGACGTTCGTATGTATTTTTATTTTTTATTTTTTTGCTGAGGAAGATTTTTTTGCTGAGGAAGCTTGGCCCTGAGCTAACATCCATTGCCAATCTTCCTCTTTTTTTTTTTTCTTTGTTTGAGGAAGATTAGCCCTAAGCTAACATCTGTGCTAATTTTCCTCTATTTTGTATGTGGGTCGCTGCCACAGCATGGCTAATGAGTGGTGTAGGTCTGCGCCCGGGATCTGAACCTGTGAACCCAGGCCACTGAAGACGGCGCCAAACTTAACCACTATGCCCCGGGGCCAGTCCCTGTATCTATTTTTAAATAATGCGTGGTTATAATAGTTATAAAAGCATGTACATAAGCTTTTTTTATTGTATGATTTAAACTAACCGTTGCTTCTCTAGTCTTCATTGTGATGAAAGACATTTTTTCTCATATGTTTATTCCTAATAGCTGATGTTCCGTAAAATGCAAGGCTTAAGTGAATTTCCAGAAAATGTCTCGGCCATTGGAGATGTCCTGTCTCACCTGACCTCCTCGGTTGACCTGGACTTTGGAGCGCACCATCCCCTCCACGTGACAATGCTGCCTAACCCCTCACACCTGGAAGCCGTTAACCCCGTGGCCGTCGGGAAGACTCGTGGAAGGCAGCAGTCTAGACAGGATGGGGACTACTCTCCAGACAGTTCGGCTCAGCCTGGGGACAAAGTCATTTGCTTACAGGTGCTTGTAGTTTCAGGAAGTGAGGCCAGAGGTTGGGAAGATCAGGAGGAAAGAATGTCTGGGTTGGTAGTTCTGAAAAGAGATGGCAGACATTCAAGATGCAACTCAGATCAACTTTTGTGAAAATAAAATTCTGGAGTTGTTTTAGAAATTAATAGGAGATGTGAGGTCTAGTCTCAAGGCAACTGACTTTAGACTGAAGTTTTGCTATGTTTTTCCTTTGTTGAGTTATGAATTAATTAAGGGGATAGACACTGGCATAGCTGATGCTTCTGAGAGGACAGGTGTCCTTACTTCTCTGAAAGTACAGCCTTCTAGGAAACTACATGGTATCTGTATATCTAACAAGGCTACAAGAGTCTGGATTTATTTTGTTTGCTTGTTTGTTTTACAATGAAGGTCTTTGGCATTAAGGCAGCCAATACAAATTATTAATGTGGTTCTTGCTTCCTCTTCCTCCCAGTTTTCCAAGCTGACAGGTATCTTTTAGAGGTTTGGACTGTGGGTCACATTTTTTTTCCTACGAGTATTCATTTAAATATGAACCTTTAACTATGGGGAGATAATTAATCCTGGATATCAGTAACTGAGTCTTCAAACCCAACAGAAATACATAAATCTATAAGGCAGTAGAATGTTGTGCTACGTATGCAAATAACCACACTATCTTATTCATGTTAATTTTTCCTGGGCCAGAAACTTGTAGTAAATAAATTGGGAGTAGGCAGAATTGGATTGGACTGTAATATGGTATTTCTATATAGGAATCTCCAAATCATTAGCCAGACATTCTCTTTGCCTTTCACTTGACTTAATTCATGATACTCTGCAAGATTTTAGTCATTTACACTTAGCCAGTACATTAAGCAGATCTTAAGATGGACTTCTGAAGTAAGAGGTGAAAATGACATTTTCTTTAAAGTGATGAGAGACTGACTACCCTCTTTTGCCTACTTTGTGTTCCTAAAATGTTTTGCCCTGCTATATCTGCATATCTTGCCTTGCTCAAGTACGCAATTCTAATTTCTTGTGGGAACTCTAAATTTGGAGCCTATAACATCACCATGGGTGACATTCTGGATCTACTTTTCCTGTTCTATCTTCTGTTTATCTTAGTCCTAGACCTGGTGGAAGTGAATTCTCGTTTGGGATCTTCTGGGTGTGTCCAAACCCCACTGCCATGTTTGGCTGGTAGCATCCACCTCACCCAGCATTCGTTTGTGCTCATGGACCCTTATTCCCACTAAGCTTTATGGAGTAGAGTGGAGTGGTTTCTCTTCTGATTTAAGAAGGAAAATAAAATTAGTAAATGACACATGTGTGCTTTAGTGTCAAGAATCCTAAGACCATGATAAAATGATGCAAGTTATGAACAGATGTGATGTCTGATCAGTGCCTCCACTGTAACACTTGTGTAAAGGAGCAGAAGAGACACACGTCTCTCTTCCTTGTTTTACCGATCTCCTTTAGTTCATTACCCCACAAGAGATCCCATCAGCAAGGAGGCCAAAAGGCGAAGAGTGTTCAGATGCCAGGAACCCCTTGACCCTGTGTGAGCCACCGTGTGGCTGAGGGTTGGACTTTACAGTATAGCATGGTGTAGAAAAGACGAGGACTCGAGAACCAAGAAGACCTGAGTTCAAATCCTGGCTTTGCTGCCTACTAGCGTGGTGTGCTTGGTTCTGTTACTTAGGTTCTCCAAATCTCATGGGTAAAATGGGAGTATAGTACATTCCTCGTAGTGTTCTGAGGATTAAACGAGAACATGTCTATAGTAAGTTCCTGGATCCGGGAGAAAGGCTTGGAGGGGTGGGGAAATAAGTAGAAAAAGCAGAGGGATCACAGAAGGTCTAGCATCTAGTCCAAGCCATGTGAAATATATATTCTTTCTGAACCTTGGTTTTCTCATCTGTAAAGAGGACGGTAGTGACTTCCTTACCTGGCCGCCCACCTGGTTGTTGAATGGACAATGGAGATAGTGTCTGGTGCTGTGGAGATAATGTCACAGTGTGTTATTACTAGAGATAGATACTCCAAAATGTCAGTCATCCCTATAGACCCTAGCAATGGGAAAGTGTGGACTGGAAATTTCAGTTAGTCAAAGGAGTGCTTCCTTTCTTAGCCAAAATATTCTACTTATATAAAAATGACTTTTTAGAGGAAGATAGGCACAGACGTTAGCCCAGGGCCAGTCTTCCTCAGCAAAAAGAGCAGGATTGGCATGGATGTTAGCTCAGGGCTGATCTTTCTCACAAAAAAAAAAAAAAAAAAAGACTTTTTAAAGGACGTTTTCAATGTCTGTTTAAAAAATCTACTTGCAGGTGTTCTTTCTTCATTCATATTAGGTCTTTTACTCCCATTATTATTGGAGCCAAAATGGTTACCTTAAGTTAGGACATATCAGATGATTTTATTTTTTGGTTCAGCATTTTGGCTGCTTATGATAACAGTCTTTTAGCAGAGCTCCTATTTTCTTCTAAGATCCTCTAAGAGCTACAATTCCCTCATTACTTGCTTTCAACTTTTCTAAAAAAAAAAAATACCCCCTTTTCTCTACCACTTTCTGTCTGCCAGGTTTTGTGATGACATTATGAAATGCTCTGGAAGAACAGCACAGTTCAGACATTCTCTCCTAATAGTATTTTGTTTTTCCCTCAAAGCATCCTTTCACTTATGTTTGTTATACTTTCCCTCCACGCCTCCTGTCTTTGCTGTCACATCTCTTTGTATTCACAATGGTAACCAACACACACAGCGGGGATTAGGTGATGGGAGCTACATAGAGCCTCTTTTCGGGGGCCAAATAATTGGGGAAGAGGGGCTGTTCAAAGCTGTGCACTGTTCCTTGTGTCTTGCAGGCTGTTCTCATGAAAGCTTTACTAGAGCTGATTTTCCTTTTGTACCTCCTGGAGCCCTTCCTCCTATAGTGGTGCTGTCTGCACTAGAATGTTGATGGGTATACTAGAAGTGATGGGTACAGGTGATGATGTGAGGTGGAAAGAGTAAGTCATCTGGTGGTGGCTGTAAGAGGAAAAGGACTGTTTTAGTATCTCTGAAAGCTGCTTGGATCAGCCTAACCATTCTAGAAAATTCTATAACCAGTAGATTTTTAGTAGGGCAGGGGAGCACTGAGAGGGTGGTTATTTTTATTCCTGTTATTATTTGAAAATAATTCATTCCAATTTGAAAACCCAAATTTCTCCATCTTTTATGTTCATTTTCTTTTTTTCTTCCCCATGATTTAGGTTCATGGTGATGCTTCTTTCTGTGGTCAAGGGATTGTTCCTGAAACATTTACGCTCTCTAATCTCCCACATTTCAGAATTGGTGGGAGTGTCCATTTGATTGTCAATAACCAGCTGGGTTACACCACTCCGGCAGAAAGAGGGAGGTCTTCCTTATACTGTAGTGATATCGGTATGTAACACAGGGAGGAGTTGATGGTCAGACAAGAAATTCCTGGAGAAAATTCTAGTTCACTCAGAACAGTGTGCCTCACTGGTTATCTCTTTTTTTTCTTTTTTTCTGTGAGGAAGATTAGCCCTTACCTAACATGCAATGCCAATCCTCCTCGTTTTTGCTGAGGAAGACTAGCCCTGGGCTAACGTCTGTGCCCATCTTCCTCTACTTTATATGGGACGCCACCACACTATGGCTTGACAAGCAGTGCATTGGTCCGTGCCCAGGATCCGAACCTGTGAACCCCGGGCCACCAAAGCAGAGAGCACGAACTTAACCGCTGTGCCACCGGGCCTGCCCCTGGTTATCTCCTTTTTAAATTTTGGGTCAGGTATGGTTAGTAGTCACCAATAGTGTTGTTAATATTTCTTTAAAGTCTGAGTGTGATCTTTAAATCCAAGGGAATAAGACAAGAGTGGAACTTAGAGGATGCAATCTCAAATTGCTCAAGTATCCAGTTGAATGATCTGGTGGAAACCAGGGATCAACACAATTAGTACAACACTACAGTAATTGTCTTTAGGAATCAAACTTGGAGCACCTAAGATCTTAGTCAAAAAGGATTTGTTCAACCAGTAAATCTGACTAAGTCGGCTGGTTAGAAATCAGATTTGAAGAAGCAAAGTTGACTTGTTTTCACCTGGAAATTGGCAGTATTAAGAGAAAGGCAGGGCTTTTATTGCCCATTCCCCAATGCACAGAATTACAAGAACTGTTAGATGGTAGGAACTATTCTGTTTTTGCACCCAAACCCTAGTCTGGAGACCTTCTGGGGCTGTCCATGTGAATTTTTTGTGGTTAGTTTGATGGAGATACTGCAAATACATTCTAGGAATTCTCTTTGGAGAAAATCCATGTTTTCCTAGGATATATCCTTTAATGACCCTTTTATCTCAGGAGGAAAGATAACAGTAATAATGACAATAACAAAATAAACATTGGTTATTATGTGCCAGGCACATTAAGCACTTTATATGCATTCACTCATTTAATCTTTATGATACCACTAAGAGGTGGGAGCCATTATCCCAGTTTTATAGATAAGGAGACTGGGATTCATAACTTTAACCAAGATCACACAATAGGTTACAGAACTGGGACTTGAACTCATTTTTGTCAGCTGGACTCCAAAGTGCCAGTTCTTAACATCCAAGCCAAACTACCTCCGAGGACGTGGGCTGCCTACCCATGCGAGCAGCGGGACTTGGAGGTGGGCCAGTGTCATTTGAGGTTAACTGGCCCACTTCATCTCCATCTTCTCTGCCTCAGGGAAGCTTGTGGGCTGCGCCATCATCCATGTCAATGGAGATAGCCCAGAGGAAGTGCTTCGTGCCACACGGCTGGCATTTGAATACCAGCGCCAGTTCCGGAAGGATGTGATTGTTGATTTGTTATGCTACAGGCAATGGGGCCACAACGAGCTGGATGAGCCCTTCTTTACCAACCCGGTCATGTACAAAATCATCAGGTACAATTATCAACCTTTATTTAATGTGCCTTCTCCTCCATAGTGCTTGCATTATTATTTTTATTAGACACGTTCAGGTAGGATGACGTCCCGGTTTGCCTGGGACGTGAAACTTTCACTGCTAAAACTGGGACAGTCCTGGGCAAACTGGGATGATCACCCTAGGGGTCTCAAGAAAGCTCCCCATATTCTTCAAACTCTACGTGTTTCCTTGATGAGTAGACAAAGGGCCACTTAACAGCCTTACTTAGCAGATGGGAAATCTGAAGGAGGAAGACGTAGGCAGAGCCTTGCCCTAAGCTACTTAGCATGGCTTTGACAGGATCAGAAACAGAACCTCCATGATTCACTTCTGCAAACTATAGATGTGAACCTGCTTTGTGCCTTGGTGAGACATAACGTGATGGATTTTAAGGAATGTTTAGAACTGCGCTAATACGGAAGCCACTAGCCATAAGTGGCTATTGAACACTTAAATAAATGTGGCTAGTCCTGATGGGGATGTGCTGTAAGTGTAATATACACATGAGATTTCAAATATTTAGTGTGAAAAAAAGAATGTAAACTATCTCAATAATAATTTTTATATTAATATTGAAATAACAATATTTTGGATCTATTGAGTTAAATAAATATATTATTAAAATTAATTCCACCTGTTTCTTTTTACCATTTCTAATGTGACCACTAGGAAAGTTTAAATTACGTATTGGCTTGCATTGTATTTCTGTTAGACAGTGCTGAGTCAGAAGTTAATGTGACAGAGAGGAACATGTTACTTTGGAATTTCCTTTTGAGATACTAGAAAGTAAAATAGATCCCCCTTCCCCACTTTATTTCCTCATAGATATAAACTAAAGAAGAGGAATAAATTCGGGGACAGTTTATGGGCCTTTCTGGTCATACGTAGCAAACTGCTCTTGGAAGAACAAATCTGGGCTCTCTGAATTTAACCGCTGAATGACTTGATGTGGCTCAGGGCTCCATTTAAAAAAATCTATGCTGCCTACCTCTCACTTTTGTCAGGATTAAATATAGTTATAAATTATATATATAATTATAGTTTAAAGTATTACGTGAATGTAGAGTGGCATTGTTGTTGTTACTGTAAAATCCAGGTACTGATTATTATAGTTACGAGATTATTAAAGCCACCTGAACAGGTGTTGGCGACTTTGGGTTCAATACTTTTTGAAATAAAAGGGTGCTGAGTGGGTAGGTCATGTAGGTCAGTCTTGTAAATAACTGTCCAGAATTTACCAACTCATAGAAAAACCCTACTACTAATTATTTCTACCTGGATGTAGACAAAAGCTTATGAAGATAAATTTGTTTTTTCTTGCTTGCCTAGAAGAGGATGATACTCACCACTGCCTTTTTAAAAACAATAATGCATTAGAGTGAAAGTCACGTAACACGAAATAGATCGTTTTAAAGTGAACAATTTGGTGGCCTTTAGTGCATTCCCAGTGTTGTGCAACCACCTTCTCTATCTAGTTCTGGAACATTTCCTGCATGCCTTTTTATAGTGCTGCCACTTTACAGTACCTTCCACACTGACTGTATGTTTCTCTTCGATTTTTACAAGTCAGATGGATTTTTTTCCCCTCTTTCTTGGACAGAGCCCGAAAGAGCATCCCAGACACATATGCAGAGCACCTTGTTGCCAGTGGACTCATGACCCAGGAGGAGATATCGGAAATCAAAGCCTCCTACTATGCAAAGCTAAATGACCGTTTAACTAACATGGCCCACTACAACCCCCCTGCCACCAACCTGCAGGCCCATTGGTGGGGCCTGGTTCAGCCGGAAGCTTGCATTACCACCTGGAACACAGGCGTGCCCCTCGACCTCCTGCGGTTTATCGGCGGGAAGTCCGTAGAGGTGCCGGAGGAGCTCCAAATGCACAGTCACCTTCTGAAGGTGTATGCTCAGGTAGGGAGTATTGACATCTCCCGTTACTGTTGGTTCTTCTTGTGCAGCAAAGGCACTGGTGTTGGTCTGGTCTTTTGTGGTTGGCTAATTCCTTTGACAAATAGTTATTGTGTGTCATTAGATCCTAGTGTATTGGTACTGATAGTCAATTAACTCAGATTTTGTCTACTATTTTTCCTCCATTCATTCATTCATTCGTACCTGTTAATACATTGCATGTAAATTTACTACATACACATTATTAAAAATACAGCAATACAGGAATGCCTGTTTTGATTTTTCTGACCAGTGGGCAGAAAACACTTTCATTCTTTTGAGCGGCTTAAATTAAATAAACAAAAATCAACACACATACCCCCGAAGGCAACCATTTAGACCCTTAAACATGTTGAGCTTTTACATGTTGTCTCATGTTCACTAGAGACTGACAAATCATCCTGATTTTGCCTGGTACTCAGGGAGTTTCCTGGGATGCAGAAGTCTCAGTGCTAAAGCCAGAGAGCAAGGAGTTAAAGGCCTTCATCTTTCTTTCTTTCTTTTTTTTTTTTTGTGAGGAAGATCAGCCCTGTGCTAACATCTGCCAATCCTCCTCTTTTTTGCTGAGAAAGACTGGCCCTGGGCTAACATCCATGCCCATCTTCCTCCATTTTATATGGGACGCCACCATAGCATGGCTTGCCAAGCAGTTCGTCAGTATGTGCCCAGGATCCGAACCGGCAAACCTCGGGCCACCACAGCAGAGCGTGCGCACTTAACCACTTGTGCCACCGGGCCAGCCACTGGCCTTCATCTTTCTTGAACTCGGATAAAGACACTGCCCTCTAAATTATTTTTATTTTTATTTTTTTTTATAATTTTATTTATTTTTTTTCCCCCCAAAGCCCCAGTAGGTAGTTGTATGTCATAGCTGCACATCCTTCTAGTTGCTGTATTTGGGACGCGGCCTCAGCATGGCCGGAGAAGCAGTGCGTCGGTGCGCGCCCGGGATCCGAACCCGGGCTGCCAGCAGCGGAGCGCGCGCACTTAACCGCTAAGCCACGGAGCCGGCCCTCTTTTTAAAACACTAAGTTCATTTTTAAGTTCTTGTTATAGGTATAGAGACTATTAAAGCAAACTATGTACTCAGCATCCAGCTGCAGAAATAGAATATTACAAATACCGTTCCCCATTACCCCTTCCTGATGGCAGTTCCTCTCATTCATCCTCACTAACCTGAGGGCACGTGTGTTTTGCCTGTTTTGAATGTCATATAATTGCAGTAATACTCTCATGTATCCTTCTGCACTTTCTGTTTAACATTATATTTTTGATACTTACCATTGTTGCGTTACATTTTTTGAACTCAGTGTGAAAAAAGAATTTGGACTCTTAAAAGTTTCTTTTTTATGGGCCGGCCCTGTGGCTTAGCTGTTAAGAGCTCGCGCTCCGATACTGGCAGCCCAGGTTCGGATCCCGGGCGCGCACCGACGCACCGCTTCTCTGGCCCTACTGAGGCCGCGTCCCACATGCAGCAACTAGAAGGAAGTGCAGCTATGACATACAACTATCTACTGGGGCTTTGGGGGAAAAAATAAATAAAGTTAAAAAAAACAATTTTAAATAAATAAATAAATAAATGTTTCTTTTTTCCTCCCCTTCAATTTTACAGTCCAGAATGGAGAAAGTGATGGATGGAACAAAGTTAGACTGGGCCACAGCAGAAGCTCTGGCCTTGGGCTCATTACTTGCTCAAGGTAAGAAGTTTCTGTTGAGCTGCACAGCTGGTAGGGGATGCTTCCTATGACATTCGTCATATGTGACCCCTGTGGTTCTTGATTACAACTACCTCTTTTTGTTTTCATTGACTGGAGAGGTTCTAAAATGTGTTAACTTTTCTTACCTGACAATATGATTTAATCTTAGTATGAGTCATGTTGACATCCTTCATCAGAGAAAAGACTATAAAGCAATTATTCCTGTAAAACAAAGGGCTCACAGCTAGATGTATTGGAAAGATATTTTCCTCTAAAAATTGTAGGGCAAATGACTCTCCATTCTTATACAATCTCACCTTGACTACAGACTTTTGAATATGGGACAGGTGTATTTTAATAAGGATTATCTATTATCCGAAGAAAAATTCTCAGGATGAGCTGGTGTGTTAAGAATTCAGAGTCACCATGCCTTATTATTACTAGGTTATTCATGGGAATCTGGATTTTCTTTTCCTTCTTGCTTGCTTAAGGTTTTAATGTTCGTCTGAGTGGCCAAGATGTTGGCCGTGGAACTTTCAGTCAGAGGCACGCAATGGTTGTTTGCCAGGAGACCGATGACACCTATATCCCTCTGAACCATATGGACCCTAATCAGAAGGGGTTTCTTGAGGTAGGATGTTTTATCTGTTGTAAAACCCAAGTGCTGATGATCATAGTTACAGGATTCTTAAAGCGACTAGAACCAGATGTTGGCAACTTTGGGTTCAATACCTTTTGAAGCGAAGGGGTGCTGAATGGGTGGAGAATGTAGGTCTGTACACTTGGAATGGAAATAACATACTAGCGAGTAGACCAGAGCTGTTTTACTCTGACTACTTATCTGTAATCCAGTAAATGTCCAATGGATGTTCAGTTTGTCAGTCCAAAATTGACATTATAACCTACATTTTGCTGAATTCATTAAAGTAAGCCAAAGATGTGGAAAATAAGCCAATATTTCTTGCCTACTTGAAAAAAAGAAACCCACTTCCTCAAGGTTACTTTATTCCCTAAGGTTTATGGGCTTGATGAATATGTCTGTTACCATGTATTTCTGTGTGCCGGTCACTGAGCTGTTCTTGTTGTGAGTCAAGGGCAGGGGCTGGGTCTTTCATTTCTGTCTTTCCAACAACTAGCATAGTGCCTGGCACATGTTGATTAACATAAATTATCCTTTAAGGTATGATTAGCGCCATGTCATCTTTTTTCCTATTCTAGCCCTTTGTTGGAGAGTGTAATGTTGAGTTCACTGATACTCAATATTTATTTAAAAGTTCAATTCTCAAAGCACAATTCTAGGCAGATTACATAAAGGACATATAGCTTATATTTTCTTTAAATTAGTCTAAAATCCATCCCTGGATCAAGTCAGACTGGTGATCTAGATACTGAAATGTTTAGTATCCCCCCACCCCAATATCTTTTATTGAATTGTGATGTGATCTATAGTATTATTTAGCTTTTATTATTGCTATTTAAAAAGCCTAAGTTAAATGTCTTGCATCTGCTATGAGGAAGCTATCAAAGATTTCACTTATTATCATATACCATGTCCTTTATATGAAGACTCTGGGAGAAACTCCTGCTTGATCTTGGTTTTTCTTTATTGTGTGTACACTATGAATTCTGCAACTGACCAGCATTCCCTTATCAATAATGGCTTCTATAAAAATCAGAAAATAAAACAATGAATATATGCACTTTTCAAAAAATAATAATAATGATGGCTTCTAGGAAGAGGTGGAGGCCACAGCAGCCTCGGTGACAAAGGAATAGGTCACCAGATTATGTCTTTTCCCCAACTCTGTTCTTTGTCTCAATGTTTTATCTTCTTTCTCTCCATTTACATTTACACTATCATGTTGTATAGCATGGATATTTACGAGCCACCTTAAATACTTTTTAGAATAAATGAAAGCATTAATAGATTCAAGAAAATAAGGTAGATAAGTGTATAGAAGTGTATAAAGTATAATATATGCATAGGAGAAGGAGCAGCTAATCTACTTGGGGAAGTCAGGAAAAGCTTGGGAGAGGAAGCCAGATTTGAGCTGGGACTTGAAGGACGCTAGGAGTTGCCTCGTCTAATGTAGAGAGAACATTCTAGGTGGACACAATAGTGCATATAAAAGTTGTGAAGTCAGAGGACCTGACACCATGCTCAGGGAACTACAAATAACTTTATGTGAATGGAGTTTAAGCTGCAAAGTGGATACAGGAGTGAAAAAAGAAGAGATTGGCCAAATAGGACTACCTGCATGGTGAAAGACGTTGAATGTGATGTAAAACTGAAACCACGGAGGAATTTTGAACAAGGGATCAGATTTTCATATTACAAAGAGTGCTCCTGATGATACTTTGGGCCCTGAGTTGAAGAAAGGGGAGACTTAGGACAATTTCTAAGGAGGCTTCTATGTCACCTAGGCAAGAAATCATGGGGACATAAATTAGGGCAATAGCAGTGCAGATGGGATATGGGGCCAGACTTGACAACTAGTCAGAAAATAACAGCCATAGGACTTAGTCGTAGATGCAGGGAGTGAAGAAGAAAGATTAGTCTCAGTTATCTCCTAGCTTCCTAACTGGCACAGCTGGTATATGATGGTGACATTCACCCAAATAGAGAGTAAAGGGCAGGGAACAGGTTTAGTAAGGAAAGACGATGGATTCAGTTATGGACATTTGACTTTGAGGTGGCTGAATGACATAGAGGTTTCTGGCAGGCAATTAGATATGTATGTCTGGGGTTAATGAAGGAATCTGGTCTTGAGATATACATTCGGAAGTAATCAGGGTGTAGGAGGGTTTGGTACCACGGGAGTGGAAGAATCTCCCTGAGAGAGCAGAATGAGAAGAGAACCAAGGGATAGGGTCCTAGGAAAAACAACATTTAAGGGGCTAGCAGAGGAAAAGTATATCCCCAACGAGCATCCAGAAAGGCAGGAAGTCTGAGTCACTGTGTCTTCCAAGGCAAGGAGGGAGGAGACAGGTAAGAGAAAGAATAACATGGCCTTTGCATTAGCACCTAGAAGGTCAAGGGTTGACCTCATGTATAGCTATTTCAGTGGAGCAATGAGAGCAGAAGCTAGATTGTACCAGTTGAAGGGTAAACAGAAGTTAAGGAGGTAGAGACAAGTGGATGAGATCATTCTTTCTAGAGGCTTGACTGTGAAAGGAAGCAGTGGCTGAGAGCACTGGTCAGGGGAATATTTCTTGTTTTATTTTTAAGCTTTTGATTGTCTGTCTGCTGAGAGGAGAAAGCCAGTGAGGAAAGGTTCAGAGAAGAGGGGTTAGGTGATGAAGCTGGGTAAAGAAGCAGAAGGAAGGGATGGATTTAGAATATGAGTGGGTATGTCAGCCTTGAGTAGGAAGAGAGATGAGGACGGACGTGAGGACAGGCAGAGGGACAAGGAAAGTGGCCAGTCCAAACCCCATTTACAACAGGCTCATGAATCTGAGAAATGCAGCAGTCTCTTTTTAAGTTAATGTATTATATAGATTATAACTGAAATCAAAGAGAAATCAGAAAAGATAAATTATGCATAATCCCATAATACTAATGTCATCTATTTTCATTTTTCTTTGTTGTCATTGAGTTCTTATCCATATAAATCACAAGTTTTTATAGTTGTAATCATAGCAGAGATGCAACTTTTTTACAGAGTTTTGTTTTTTTAAAATAAAAGCTTTCTTGAGATATAGAAGAGAATTCAACCTTTCATTGTATACAATTTAGTGGTTTTTAGTGTATTCACAGAGTTGTGCAACCATCACCACTATCTAATTTCAGAATATTTTCATCAACCCAAAAAGAAACCCCATACCCATTAGCAGTCACTCCCCATTCCTTCCTCCACCCAGCCCCTGGCAACCTGATCTACTTTCAGTTTCTACCAATTTGCCTATTTTGGCCTTTTCATATAAATAGAATCATACAATATGTGGCCTTTTGTGATTGGCTTCTTTCACTTAGCATCATGTTTTCAGGTCCATCCATGTTGTAGTGTGTATCAGTATTTCATTCCTTTTTATTGCCAAATAATATCCTGTAAATATGTAACTTTAAAAAATATTTTTTAGACAAATTTTGAAACAAACACAAAATTACCAAAAAGTGGATGTGTAATACAAAAGAACTTTTTGTCACTCTGAAACATTTGAGACATCAAGTTGGCAACATCAAGTTGCCAACCTGATGCCCCTGATGTGTATTTCCTACAAACAAGGACATTCTCCTACATCACCACAATACAACCGTCCAAGCCAGGAAATTAACACTGAGACGTGACTGACATCTTGTTCTCAAACCCAGTTCAGAATCACATTGCCTTTAATTGTCACATCTCTTTAGGAGCTGAGGAGTTTTACATCCTCAGAGATGTAATTTTGTGTTCTGCTTTTTTAATCTTAACATGTGGTGATGATTCTTTTGCTTTATTGTGCAAATGGGATATTAGAATAATGGATTCGAATCAAAGGTAGGCCTTTTTTGGGTAACTTCCCCCCTTTATTTTGTGATACTTTTTAAAAAGCTTGTATGACACAGTTTTCCTCTCAGCTGCAAAGATGGGTCATTTGAGAAGTTAATTTTGCTTCTCCTTGAAGAAAATTTTTAATGCCCATATTCCAATCTCTTTTGTCTCTTTCTGTCTTTGTCCCAACTTTTTCCATATGCATCATTCATAGAGAGCAGTAGATCTCCTTTCTCAAAGGAATGTGGAGATGAATGAAAACAAAGCTCCCCTCCACCCCTTCTCCCTTTTGAGAGGTTTGGATAAATGTGATGCTTTATCTTTACTGACTCACGTCACACCTTCCCTGGCGTGACAGTGTTTCTTTTCCCTTCCTTGCATTAGGTCAGCAACAGCCCGCTGTCCGAAGAGGCTGTCCTGGGATTTGAGTATGGGATGAGCATTGAAAGCCCTAAGTTACTGCCGATCTGGGAGGCTCAGTTTGGGGATTTCTTCAATGGTGCCCAGATCATCTTTGACACGTTCATCTCTGGAGGTTGGTGTTGGCATGTGGGTGTGTAGTGGATGCATGGCACCAGGCTGATGGGACGAATGAGGGAAAAGGGGCCATAGCTGCTCAGGAGACTCCTGTGCACCAGGGGGATTGTCCTGTCATCCACTAGGGCGGGCAGCTATCAGACAGTTAAATCAGCTGTCTGGGAGGGCTGAGGGCCACTCAGCGACTGTGCGGGGAGCACCTTCCCATCTTCGGGGGAATGTGTTTGGCTGTAGGGAGCAGTGCCTGTACCTGCCACTCCTAGGCGGTTTAACTTTTGGGTCTGCTCCTGGGGTATGTTGAGTAACTGTGACCTGAATCACAAGTAGGCAATGGTGACATAGTGAGGATTGGTGGTCAGAGTGAATGGCAGCCTTGCAGATTCACTTCCCTCAATCCAGGGAGACTCAAGTGTCTGAAAGTTGGAAGTTGTGCATCTTTATTATTTTTAATCGTCATTTACAAAAGCAGTAAAAATTTGTAAAAATTTTTGTTTTATTTTGTAATTGTAAAAATTATTGTAAAATTTGAATATTTGTTATTGTAAAAATTCAAAGTCTATGAAGTACAAGTCTGAGTCTCCCCCCAGACCCTTACCCCCTTTTCTGGGGGTAACCACTCTTGCATTTTGAGTGTGCACTTCAGCCCCTTCCCGTGGTTGTGTTTCTCTGTAACTGTAGTTGTGAAGAAGAAACGTTCCTTGAGGAGACTGGACCTTGACGTGTCCAGAGACTGTTCTAAGTGTCTGCGCCCTCAGTTTGAGGACAGTGGCCTGTGTTGTAAGCGGTGCTGTGAAGACAGATAGGAGCTGCCCAGCCTCGGAGGTGGAATCTGAGTGGCACGTGCCGTCCTGGAAGCCGGGACGTTCACCTTTGAGTCGGTCTTCCACTTGCTAATGCCCAGTGAATGTGTCATTGTAGGCTTTCAGCAGGAGGATGGATATTGTCCTCCTAAGGAGGGTGTAGCAATGCTAGCAAGCACGTGCAATGAAAACGGTTTTAGGGGGTCAGGCAGCAAACTAACACTTGTTTCTACCCAAGTCCATCGGACTCTTTCTTTTGTTCCTGTTTCATAGAGTTCTTACTCCCTACCGTGTGCTTTTCCAGGAGAGGCCAAGTGGCTCCTCCAGACTGGTATTGTTATTCTCCTTCCCCACGGGTACGACGGGGCCGGACCCGACCACTCCTCTTGTCGCATAGAGCGTTTCCTGCAGGTATGTCCAATGTCTTCTGGATGCCAAGAAATGTTTTCCTGCTTCCCAGGTGCTTTGAAATAGAACTACCTCCTGCAGATACTTAATGTGCACCTTAAACTGTAAGACATTGTAGTAGTTGAATGAAACAGATTTAATGCAATGTCAATATTCCTTGGAAACATGATGCCTCAGGTATATCAGTATCACGGTTTTACGGCAATTAAAGTGATTCCTGTGTGACAAAGGTCGGTGATTCCTAAACCAGGCTGATCATTGGAATCATCTAGGGAGCTTTTTATAAATAGAGGTACAGGGACCAACGCCGGATCAGATTCTTAGCATCGAGGGCTAGGAATCTGTATTTTTATTTAAAAAAATTTTTTTCAACTAATGATAGTATTTTTATAAAATAATTCATGATCATTAAAAAATTTTAAATAACCACCCAGAAATAACCATGTTATCATTTGGTGAGAAGCATTACTGATGTCTCCTTACGCATATGACTTCCTAATATTTTATTATGAAAATTTTCAAACATACAAAAAAGCTGAAAAAAATTTTACAGTGAACATTCATATGCCAACTGCCTAGATTCTACCGTTAATTTTTTCTTATACTTGTTTTATCACATATATGCTCGTCCATCATCCCTCTGTTTATATATCCATATTATTTTTTGCTGCATTTCAGAGTAAATGGAGACATCTGTACACATCACCCTAAGTACATGCATAACATTAATTATTTTAGCATACATGCAGATAAAATATATAGATAGATGGTAGATTAGTAGAAAGGTAGGTAGAACAGTAGATAGATGGATAGTTATACTGATAGATAATGACACGAGAAATGATTTTATAAAACAGATTACAGAAATAAATTGCAGGTAAATTAAAGAACTGCATGTGAAGTACAAAACTACAGTTTTTGAAAAATATAGGAAACGAGTATGTGGAAGACATAATTTGGGAGTCACTGGTATATAGATATTTAAAATCATAAGACTGGATGAAATCATCAAAGGAGTGTGTACAGATAGAATAGAGAAGTTGCCCCAAAACTGAGCCCTGGGATAGTCCAACCATAAGAGGCTGCAGAGAAGAAGAAATGAGACTGAGAAGGAGCAACCAGTGAGGTTGGAGGAGGGTCCTAGAAAGCAAGTGAAGAAAACATGACAAGAAGGAGGGAGTATCAAGGCCAATTAAGATGAAGACTGAGAATTAGCCATTGGATTTAGCAATGAAGAGTTCATTTGGTGGTTGGTAACTGCAGTTTAGATGGTGTGGTAGGGGCCAAATCTGATTGGAATGTATTTAGGAATATATGGAAGGAGGAAAGTTTAGAGGGAGTTTTGTTGCACATAGAACAAGGAAATGGGGTGTAGCTGATGGGGGAATTTGTGTCAAGAGAAGTTCTTTTTGTTTTTGTTTTTGTCTTAAAGATAGTACAAATAACAGCATGTTTGTATGCTGATAGGAATGATCCAGTAGAGAAGAAAATGATGATGCAGGAAGGAGGGTAGAATGACTGGAGTGATTGCTATGAGTAGGCAAGATGGGATGGCATCCACTGCATAAGGGATTGGCTCAGCTTTTGACAGGAGCATGGTGGGTTCATCTCTGGTAATAATTGGAAGGCAGAGAATATGGATGCAGATGATAGAAAATTTGTAGATGTTGAGGTAGGGGTTGGAGGAAATACTCTTGGATCATTAGCTGAGAGTGATGATGGAGGAGGCGGTCCTGGGTTTAAAGGTGTGAAATAGTCATCTGGGAGAGGAGGATAATGAGTAGATTAGGGAAATATAGTGGTCTAAGAGCATTGAGGGTCCACTTGAGATTCTTTGTCAAGATTTTAAAGTGAGATAGTCAGTGTGATTGTGTGTTTTCTCCAGCTACATTCCTTACATAGGTGCAGATGTGGAACAGGTGGAAAGTTGGGATTAACTAGGGTTGTGGTTTGGAGTGAGAAAGGGTCAAGGGAGTTAAGGGTGTATGCCAAAGAATGGTTATAATGATTGACTCTGGAATTTAGGCTAAATAAGGATGAGAAAGGAGATGTGAAAAGAGTAAAGGTCAGGGAAGAGGTGATAAGATCAGTGGGTTGGGGGTATTGATGAGGTTGAAGGGTTGCTGGAGTCACAGTGGTAAAGGGAGTTGAGCTAGAAAGGTAGGAAGTGGTGGTCAGAGTGGAATGCATAAACTAGAGCTTATGGAGAGGTTATTGATCATAACAAGGCTACTACCATGGGAATGGGTTGTGGAGGTAGGGTGGAGGACAGAGTTATGGGAGGACATGAGTTCAAGGAACCAAGAAGGCAGGGTGTTGAAAGGGTCATCTACATGTACATTAAAATTACTGATATCCTAAGTCAATATTGGTAACCCCACTGATACTACGATATTATGTAACCCCATTTAAGTTGAGAAAGATCTACATTTGCTCTCAACTTTTCAATCTTGTTTCTGCTTTTGATTTTGTTTTTGTCTTTAAAAACGAACAAACACACAAAACCAAACTATAATTGTGTTTATTTCATTACAAGAGTGAGATTCTGTTAGTGCTTCCTTCCACCATCTTAACCCCACAGTAATTAGAATCTGTATTTTTTTTTTAATTTTTAATTTTTTTTTTTCTGAGGAAGATTCACCCTGAGCTAACATCTGTACCAATCTTCCTCTGTTTTGTATGTGGATCGCTGCCACAGCATGGCCACTGACGAGGTGGTGTAGGTCCGCGCCCAGGAACCAAACCTGGGCCGCCGAAGTGAAGCACGCCAAACTTAACCACTAGGCCCCGGGGCTGGCCCCTGGAATCTGTATTTTTAAAAGGTCCTCTCCAGGGCCAGCCCCGTGGCTTAGCGGTTAAGTGCGTGCGCTCCGCTACTGGCGGCCCAGGTTCGGATCCCGGGCGCGCACCGACGCACTGCTTCTCTGGCCATGCTGAGGCCGCATCCCACATACAGCAGCTAGAAGGATGTGCAGCTATGGCATACAACTACCTACTGGGGCTTTGGGGGGAAAAAAAAATTAAAAAAAAAAAAAAAGGTCCCCTCCAGATGCTTCTTGCAATCAGTTGTGTTTGGGAACAACCATGTTAAAATACAGAGACTTGGGCACATGGGGAAAACCATTAGACCTCTCCTCTGGTTAATCTTCACAAGTCATAAATTTACCCTCTGGTATTTTTCCATAATGAAGAGAAATATCTTTTCTCCTTCTAACTGAGAGCCCTGGGTTTCCCTTTGAATAGCATACATCATTATGATTGAATTAGATGGTCTGAACATTCTGCTCCTTTCTTTCATTTCTCTCCCAGATGTGTGACAGCATAGAAGAGGGGGTAGATGGAGACACAGTGAACATGTTCGTGGTGCACCCGACTACTCCTGCACAGTATTTCCACTTGCTTCGGAGACAAATGGTCCGGAACTTCAGAAAACCCCTGATTGTTGCTTCTCCTAAGATGTTACTCAGGTTCCCTGTAAGTAGGAAAGAAAAAAAAAGAAAAAGAAAAATCTAGTTAGCCTTTCTCCTTTTGTCATTTTTCTACTGCATTTTCCTCTATTTCTGTATCTAATTATAGTTCTGAATTACAGACATATCTTTGTAGTTTGAGTTGGCCATGCTGCTTTCTCTCTCTTTTTTTGACCTTTCAAGAATAACTGGACAGGCTGGCCCTGGTGGCCTAGTGGTTAAGTTTGGCGTGCACCACTTCATTGGCCCAGGTTGGTTCCCAGGTCTGGACCCACACCACTCATCTGTCAGTGGCCATGCTGTGGCAGCAGCTCACATACAAAATAGAGGAAGATTGGCAGCTGATGTTAGCTCAGTGCAAATATTCCTCAGCAAAAAAAAAAAAAAAAAAGAATAACTGGAAATATAGGTAGTGCTCAGTTTCAGTGTAATCAATGACAGGGATAGCAGACATCACCCTGGAATCCCACTCTGAGAAGAAATAATTTTGTAGAAAAAGTTTCAAAGTCCAAACGGTCTAAACACTGCTATATGGATAGTAGCAAGTTGGAAATTTAAAGTATTTTGATGAAAAGAAGTGGTATTATGCGTTGACTTTTATTTAGATTTTTTCTGTTAGCTACACTGATTTAAAAGGGTGAGTTTTCTTTTGGTTTACCTGAACTAAGTGTTAAGTGCACAATATATTTTTTAAGTCGCAAAAATATTCTAGTTTTCAAATGGCAGAATAAGTACTGGTAGGCATATATTTATTTATCCCATCTGCTATAATTTTTTTCAGTTTTATATGAGAGTCTTAATCAGGATTAACAGTCAAAAAACTTTTCCATTTATTTGGATGTTACTGCTGAGGTGAAATAAGTCGTTGAGGATTTGGCTGTTCAAGACTATCTTGTGCTTCTCACAGAGGTTTGAGGGTGCATATTTGGAATTGAAGGGTGTTGAGGAAAGTTGTGAGTTATTTGCTTTCACTGGTTGTGGCTTTTTTGTTGTTTTTTTTTTTTTTGCTGAGAAAGATTGTCCCTGAGCTAGCATCTGTTGCCAATCTTGCTCTATTTTGTATGTGAGCCACCTCCACAGCATGGCCACTGACGAGTGCTGTAGGTCCATGCCCAAGAACCAAACCCCGGGCCAGTGAAGTGGAGCGTGCCAAACTCAACCACTAGGCCATCAGGGCTGGCCCCTCGCTGGTTGCATTTTTAAGCAGTTCCTACCATTTGGAGGAGAGTAGGCAGATATTCTCACAGTCAGCTTTTGCCTGATCCTAGAAGGAGTGCCTCCTTAAATTTTGCACTCCAGGCACCACACCTGCCTCACCTAGTCCCGACTCTGGGAGTCAGGGTGGAGGAAATGCACTTCAAGTTATTTCACCAATGGCAGTGGTTCGTTTGTGTGGTCGATTTATTCTCTCTCACCCAGCATCCCTATGAACACTTTACATTTTGAGATGGCTTCATGAGCCTAGAAACATCACAGGATGCTTTCAAGAAAAATTAATGCTATCTCTTCTACACAGCTTTCTGATGGAGCTCTTTTTTTGTTTTGTTTTGTTTTCCTTCATTTTTCTATTTGACATTTATTTCAGCATAAGTTTACTTCATGAGTAAAATTTTTCCCTCTGTCCTGGGGCACATTCCCATAATTAAAAATGCAAAGTAGTAACTATTTTAAAATACACTATGTAGTAGCAACCACAGATTTTATGGAGAAGGATATTACACCACTACAGAACTTCTTTATTTGACAGAGACAGTTTAAAATGATGCGCCTGGTCGGCCCCGTGGCTTAGCGGTTAAGTGCGCGGGCTCCGCTGCTGGCGGCCGGGTTTGCATCCCCGGCGCCCACCTACGCACTGCTTCTCCGGCCATGCTGAGACCGCGTCCCACATACAGCAACTAGAAGGATGTGCAGCTATGACATGCAACTATCTACTGGGGCTTTGGGGGAAAAATAAATAAATAAAAATTAAAAAAAAATTAAAATGATGCGCCTTGTAAAATGATGCACCTACTATGAAATTTGAAATACATTAAAAAATCTCAAATCAGTATATAATTGCTGATGGGGCTCTTTTGACACAGATCTTTTGAAACAGCGATGTTAAAGGGGCCAAGTCAAAATGAAAATTAATTTATTTTCAAGAAGTATATACATCTGGGATTCTTGACCCAATTTTCACTGTACCCCTAAGGTTGTCACTGCGCCCTCAATCATAGCTATAAAGGAATGTAATGATACTAAATATCGTATATGTTTGTTACTAAGTATTGAGAACTTCTTTTGCTGTTTGAAATTGAGAATAAGAGTTCGTATTCTGGCTCTAATGTTCCACCCCTCGCGCTAAGTCTAATATATAGTGGCCTTACTTAGGAGCTTTAAAAAATATCAACAGCTATCCTATAGATTTTCAGGTGAAAAACTACTCTTATTAAGTAGTCAAATATCTTCCTTAAACATATAAGTCCTTTTATTAATTGAAAGTATGACCATTATTGAATTCTGATTTCTTTTCTTTTTTTTTTTTTGTGAGGAAGATCAGCCCTGAGCTAACATCCATGCCAATTCTCCTCTTTTTACCGAGGAAGACTGGCCCTGAGCTAACATCCGTGCCCATCTTCCTCCACTTTATGTGGGACGCCGCCACAGCATGGCCTGACAAGTGGTGCAGTGGTGCGCGGCCGGGATCCGAACCCGGGCTGCCAGCAGCGGAGCACGTGCACTTAACTGCTACGCCACAGGGCCGGCCCCTGAATTCTGATTTCTTCCTGAAAATTGGATTATTGGTACAAGTGATCTCTCAGAATATAAGTCAACCCTTTCTCTTGATGGCATACTTGGACGTGACTTGCCATGTAGCAAACATACCTCAGGACTATAGGGAGTTTGCCCACCAAGTGTTACCTAAATCCCACCCAACTCTAAACCCCAGCTTCTTTTGATTCCTACCATAGGAAGTGGGGACTGACAAAGGGTTCAGAATGGAGAAAGATCACATATTATTTAGTAATAAGAATAGTTGAATAGTTAATGTTAATTTTTAAGTTATATCACAATATCCCAGCATCACTGTGGCTTCCCTCAATGGGGAGGGCAAATGTCAAAATGTCATATACTCATTTAGGACTAGATTAGGGAAATTAACTAGATGATAGCAAAAGGGAGCAAATCCCCAGCTTTGGCTGCATCAGTTTTCTACTCTAAGCTCTTTGCAACAAGTATTTACTTAAATTGAGCTCATTAATAAAATTTCTTTTTCTCACAGAAATATTCATGTATTGTTCCTACTTGTTCTGACCTGATAAGGTTTCACTTATAAATTATAGTCAAAATCCTAAAGACAGAAATAATTTCCCTAGCTTAGCTGTTTTGGTTTACAATATAAATTGTATAAAATGTTGTTTCTAATCCCCCAAAATTAAAACATATTTTTTTATTGATAATAAAGTCATATGATCAAACTGAAATTTTGATTCTTAAAATTTTATTGTGGCACCAGAAGAAAGGCAATCTTATGTAACTTTGGAAAAATAATTTTGTTCTGAAGTATACAGAACTCATATCTTTTGGAAAGATACTATGTTTATGAGTACATATGTTTACTTATAGTCCTAGGCGAGAATTTTGATACTATTTCTTGGTAAAGATCCCTTATAAGTAAAAGCATCTTCAGCTCCTTTCCATTGGTTGATAGATTTATGGCTTTTCTTCCCCCTCCTTAGGCAGCTGTGTCAACTCTTCAAGAAATGGCACCAGGAACAACATTCAAACCGGTCATTGGTGATTCATCTGTGGATCCAAAAAAGTAATGCGATGTGTATCTCTGTTTTCATCCTCTGCAGTGGAATTTTAGTGAGTGGGAAAACTAGTTCTTGTTGAGGAACCCAAAGTGGCTCAAATCTCCTCTATCCTGGTATAAGTCCTCTACGTCAGTGGGGTAGGAGTGAGAGTATGCTTGGAAGAGTGAACTTTGGGGGCCTGTGTAGCTAAAGAAGGCTTGCCGTGGCATAGCATGTGGCTGAACCCAACTACAAAGCCCCCACTGCTTCAGTAGTGAAGCATTTAAATGTACATGGTCTCCCCTTTCTTCTGATACACTTCTTACTTGAAGATATTTCTCCCCCACCCTATTGTCCCTTTTCCACCCAACAGTGTTAAGAGTCTAGTGTTCTGCAGTGGCAAACATTTCTATGCCCTACTGAAGCAGAGAGAATCTTTGGAGGCCAAGAAGCATGACTTTGCCATCATCCAAATAGAGGAACTCTGCCCTTTCCCATTGGATTCATTACAACAGGAGATGAGCAAATACAGACATGTTAAAGGTAAAGGGTCATTCTTGCTAGAGTTCTTTGGTTTTCAGATGTCTGAAACCTATTCGGACCATCTCTAATGAAAAGAGGTTATGGGGGCAGTGAGCATTATTAGAAAATAGAATTTCATGGAATCTGGAGAGATGAAAATTATACTAGGAGAGCCAGTGTCTCCATGTCTTTTTTGGTGTCCCTTTCAGTCTCCCCCTTCTCTCATCTAAGACATCTAATTTCTTGAGAGTTTGGAGGGAATCAATGCTATACTATGATTTATGATAAATCCAGTATAATTATAAAAGATAAGCCTTTCCAACAAATGACACTGGAATAACTGGACTATAAACACCTTTTACAGAAATTAACTCAAAATTGATCGTAGACCTGAATGTGCAGCATAAAACTATAAAACTTCTCGGAGAAAATCTTCATGATTTTGGGTTAGGCAAAAAATTCTCAGATACATCACCAAAAGCACGTTCCATTAAAGAAAAATTGGACTTTATCAAAAAGGCACTGCAAGGAAAACAAAAAGACAAGCCACAACCTGGGAGAAAATATTTCCAAATACATATCTGACAAAGGACTATCCAGAATGTTTAAAGAGCTCTTAAAACTCAACAGTACAAAAACATATAATTCAGTTTTTCAAAATGCGCAAAAGAATTGAACAGCCACTTTACCAAAGAACTGGATGGCAAATAACCATATGAAAAGATGCTCGACGTAATTAGGGACAAGGGAAATGCAAATTAAGCCAAAATGAAATACAGCTACACACCTACCGGAATGGCTAAAATGAAAACAAAACAACAAATTGACAATATTGAGTGCTGATGAGGAAACAGGGCAATGGAACTCTCATTCACTGCTGGTGGGAATGCAAACTAGTACAGCCACACTGGAAAACAGTTTGTCAGTTTCTTATACGGTTACCCAGAGAGTTACATACCAGTCAGCTGTCCCACTCCTAGGTATTTACCCAAGAGAAAGGAAAACATGTTCACAGAAAAATCCGTATGTGAATGTTTATGGCAGCTTCATTCATAATTGCCCAAATTGGGAACAACCAAAATGTCTTTCAACCAGTGAATGAATAAACAGTCTGTGGTACATCCATGCAATATCTCACCACTCAACAATAAAAGAGTGAACTATTGCTATCCACAAAATCACAAATGGATTTTGCTAATTCAAGGAAGCCCCTAAAGGCTACATACTATGATTCCATTTGTCTGACATTCTGGAAAAGGCAAAACTGTAAGGAGAGAGAAAAGATCAGTGGTTGCAAGAGGTTAGGGGTGGGAGGAGGAGTTGAGTACAAAGGGACAGGATGAGAGAATTTGGAGGGTTGATAGAATTGTTCTGTTATCATGATTATGGTGGTGGATACATGACTATGCCTTTGTCAAAAAAAAGTGACCCTCTGCCATATTGGAAAGGCATATACTTACTTGAGGATATATATAGAGAGAGAATATAGTGTACGTACAGATGTATACATATATATATATATAGTGTGTGTGTGTGTGTATGTATGTTGTATGTGTTTACTTGAGGTAGTGAGATGAAATTTCTTCTTTTATAGATTTTATTTGGAGTCAGGAGGAGCCTCAGAACATGGGTCCGTGGTTTTTTGTTTCTCCCAGGTTTGAAAAGCAGCTGGCCTGCAAGGTAATGCCTCTTTCTCTCTTGGAATGTCTTGTGTGTCTTGTCTCTCCTGCAGTGCCAACAAGTGAGTTATCCCCTATCATCAGTCCCGTTCTGTTCAAGGTAAACTAAAATATAAAATCTAGTCTTTTGCTGTTCTTTCAGAATAAAATGCTGAGTGTTTATTGAGCTATATACATGTACATACTACTATCACGTAAAAAAAAAAGTAGTTATACTCAAAACGGTAAACACCCTTACCTGTCGTGTACTTTCCTATTAGCCTGCTCAGCACTCTTGTCCTAAAGCATCCAAGCCCTGGGGGAACAGGGCGATGAGCAGGGTGATGAGCAGTCCTGTTTTACAACATGGGAGTACACGCACCCAAGAACACTTGTTCCAGGCCCATCCATACAGCTGGTATACATCAAAGGCCAAATCTTCTTGATTCTGCTTTAAGAAAGGAAAAACAATGAGAAGAGCAATTGTGCTTCTGTGTGTCTTTCTATTCTGCTTTGATTAGAACTCAGTTCACTCATTCGAAACTAGTTTGCTAGGCTCAAATCATTTTCACATGTAAATAGTTCTAACTTAGGAAACTCTACAATTAAAACCAACTAATAGTTACTGAAAAATAAGACAAATTCAAGAATTTGTACCTAAATTTCATACCTGACATTTAGTTATTAGTTTTTAGTTGTGACATATATCTCCCTCCAATCTGTTCTAGGTAACTCATTATTTTTCGAAAAAAGTGATTTATGGTTAAATAAGCTAAGAGAAATATATGCACCTCCTTGGGAGAACTAAGCAGAGCTCTGATCTTATCAAAATGTCATTTTCTTTTCTGCTTCAATGATAGCTCCGTCTTGTGAGCAGACCCCCTTTGCCAGCACCCGCTGTCGGAATTGGCACCGTTCACCTGCAGCAGCATGGAGATGTCCTCACCAAGACCTTCGCTTGATGAAGTCCTTTGAAGAAATCCTACTTCCTTTAAAACAACTGCCATAGAAGGAAAGGCTTTCCTCTATTCTCTCCGCCTTCTGTTAGGTAACATGAGAAGACTGGATTCCTCTAAGATGTTGGGACTGATGAGGACAGTTTAATTTGGAATATGTGGAATAGTCAAGGGAATCGTTCATCAATACAGGAATCCGACAAGTAACTTTTTTTTTTTCTGGTGAGGAAGATTGGCCCTGAGCTGACATCTGTGCTAATCTTCCTCTATTTTGTATGTGGGACACTGCCTCAGCATGACTTGATGAGCGGTGTGGAGGTCTGCACCCAGGATCCAAACCCACAAACCTCGGCCACTGAAGCAGAGTGCACAAACTTAACCACTACACCACGGGGCTGGGCCCCCCCGCCCCCACCCTCCACCACCAAGTAACTTTTATCCTTAAAAATACACTAGTGTTTCTTTTGGTTAGATTTGAGTGAGTTGTATAGCTACGCCCTTATCCAGATTTTTTTAGGCTTTCCTCTTTCTAATTAACTTTAAATACCCAGGAAAAGTTCTTTAGCCTGAATTTACATCTACATATAGATTACCTCAATGATTTGTTTGGTGCATGTCACTTTCGTTAATTTTATTCAAAGTCCTGTGACCACCACTATTTTCGTTTTATGTCATCTCTGGTGCTGCTTTCCAGCCACTGTGAAAAATGTTTCACCAAACACTGTAGCAAAACTAAATTGATTTGTGTCCTTCAAGATCATTGTTTTACCCATTATCCTTAAATACAGGTCCTATTAAATATAAACTCTGGGTGTATGATCCTCTAGGATGGTATTACTAAGTTAAGGAGTTTTAGCTACAGTGAAATTGATTTGTGGTCTACTTTGCCATAGTATCTTTTTTCCCCCTAAATTGTTCTAGTAATGATATCTTAATATTTTTAATTTACTTTGGGTGTCTGATATGGGTATTTCAGCCCTTGGTTAATCAGTCTTGCCTCTAAAAGTCCCTGCTGTGGTGTGATGTTTATTTGTGGTATTTAACTTTGACAGGGGGGACTTCCCAACACCTGGTACTTGGGGATTTCTAGAGATCGCCAACCCATTCCCTTATTCTGAAATTAAATTGCACTGGAAGCGTAACTAGACAGCAGCAAACTGTAGCTTTACATGGCGTGGTGCTGCAGAGGCTCTGTCATCTACCATTCTTGTGCGGTGACACTGCTGTTCTCAGAAACCATGGGGGAAGTACCAAGCCACTGGAACGCCCCCTCCACTTTTACTGGCAGCTGGTTATGCCTTTCACAATCAATGTACAGGTTGTTCTGGCTGCAGCAGTAGATTCATGATTCACATCTTAAATGTGTGCATTAGTGTATTGATATAACATTTCTGTGATATTCACTATCCCTTTTATTTCTGTACACCTTAATGCTTCCTTCCTGTGTCAAGCCTTACAGGTCATGTAATTTAGTGCCACTCATGTAAATCAGTAAAATTACAAAGTTCCATTTAATGAGAACCGTTATCAATGTTGTATATTGAATTATAAAAAAATAAAAGCACAGTGTCATTGTTTTCAGAGCTCTTGGTTTCTTAAGTTAAAAAATTTCAAAGTCTAGGTTTTGTTTTTTTAGTTTAGTTTCGATCTCTACACATTTCTAACTTTACACCTCACTAGTCTGTTTATGGTTTCTTGTTACATCTTCTCCAACTTGAGCCATGAAATGTGTCTTCTGTATCTTAACCTTCTTACTCGCAATCACCACTGCAATACGGGTCAGCATTTTGAATTACCTTGGAGGAAGGGACCATTTGAAGAATTCCCAATCAAATACTCCCATAATAAAGCATGGGATAAAAATATTATAATAAAGTAAAATAAAAATATTTTACTTTGTTCCTCTTAAAAATTTGATAATGTGATATTTGTATCCCATTTACAACTAGGCTAAATTTCATATTCAATGAAGATGAGTTCAAATTGGGTATTCAGTGAACAGAAATATTAACTGTGAAAGAATTTTCATTTTGTTTAAAATGATACATTATTCTTAGTAAAATAAAATTTCCTTCTTTATAAGAACCATTTTGCTCAGTTTTCCTTGTTTTTCATACACATACTATAAGGAAAAATATTCTAAAGCATAGCCTTTTTTAGTCTGACTGGATTACCTTTGAAGTTTTATTATTTTTTAAAATTCCTTGACTGACAATAGAAACAGTATCCTTTTTACAAAATTGAGGAAATACAGTTTAAGGAAATTAGAGGTTACACAGGAAGGAAGTCACAGATTAAGAATCAAGACTTCTGAGTCTTGAGGTTCCAAAAGTTTTACGTACATTTCTCTGGAATGTACTTGGATATTTAGTTTTCATCTTCAGCTTCTCGTAAGGTTCAGGCTAAAACTATTATATTTTTGGGAAAATTCGACAAAATATTTAAATCCTCAAAATTTATAACATACTATTACACAAACAACTCCTAAATTACTCTATGGAAGTAGTAATTCATTGTCATGTTTGCATTTATATCTGATAAAGCACAATCTAAAGCAGACTATTTCCCCACTGCCAATTGCAGACTATTTCCCCACTGCCAATTGCAAAATCAGTTAATTTTAGAAAATTTTTTATTGTAGTGTAGTTGACATACAATATTATGTTAGTCTCAGATGTACAACGTAGTAAATCGACATTTATATACATCACAAAATGATCACCATGACAAGTCTAGTAACCATCTGTCACCATACAAAGTTATTACAATCTTATCGACTATATTCCCTATGCTGTACATTACATCTCCATGACTTATTTATTTTATAACTGGAAGTTTGTACTTCTTAATCTCCTTCACCTGTTTTGCCCATCCCTCCACTCCCCTCCTTTCTGGCGACCACTAGTTTGTTCTTTGCATCTATGAGTTTGTTTCTGTTACTTAGAAAGCTTTTTTTTTTAAATTATTTATTTATTTATTTATTTATTTATTTATTCCCCCAAAGCCCCAGTAGATAGTTGTATGTCATAGCTACACATCCTTCTAGTTGCTGTACGTGGGACGCGGCCTCAGCATGGCAGGAGAAGCGGTGCGTCGGTGCACGCCCAGGATCTGAACCCTGGCCTCCAGCATCGGAGCGCGCGCACTTAACCGCTAAGCCACGGGGCCGGCCCTAGAAAACTTTTAATAAAAGCGTATTTAGTGTTATTTCTCTGTGTCTTCTCTAACTCATATGGAGAACCAGCTATAATTAAACAAAAACAAGAAATGACCCTATAAGAGTACAATGGTATTTCCTCAATAAGTAGTTTATTAGACACCTATTGCATATATGGCATTGTTCTGCACACTAGAAATACATAGGAGTAAAAGATAAAATGGGTTGCCCACTGTCCTCAATGGACTAACAACTTATTTGCGAAGAGAAAGCATTTTACATGTAGAGCGAGGAACGTTCTTGCTGGATATGCTACAACAACATGGGAGGTCAAGGGAGAGTGGTGTTTATGATAGATGTAGATTAGGTGGCATATTGCGGTTACACAAAGAAAAGTTCTGAGTAGCATGTAGTAGTAGAAAGACTGAAGAATCTTGGGCGGGTAATTCACCAAAGTTATCTCGAGTGTCAAAGCTTATTCCCAGGCTCTAACTTGAAACATGGAGCTGTCCCAGAAATAGGCAGTAAAGAGAGGTACAGGCCACTCTTCTCTTCCTGTCAAGTAGATTTTCAATTAGCTGCATCTTTATTGAAGGGATGTTATTCTCATGAAATTAGCTCACAATCTACTGTCAAAACTATATTTAAGTCGACCACTTATAGGTTACTGCGGATGATACAAAAATTAAGACCCTCCCTGCCATCCAGAAGATCATGATGTAGTAGGGGAGATTAGGCAAGTATGAAAATGACTAATACCAAGTAGAATGAGGTAAGAATGAAGTCACAGAATGTGAGATTATGACTAAGGTAGATTGTATTTTCCAAAAGTGGCCAGAGCAGAATTTTGTGTCCCACCTGCTCTTCCAGAACCTTGCCACATCTCTGCTTGGAGGTGGAGTCTATTTCCCTTCCCTCTCGCAATCGAGCAGGACTTGATGGCTGCCTCTACAAACACAATGCACTGAAAATGATGCTGGGTGATTTCCAAGGACTTGGCTTGGACCCCAGCTGCCATGTTGTGGGGAAGCCCAGGCCACGTGGAAAACCCCAGTGGAGGTGTCTGAGCCGACAACTTCTGCTGAGCTCTTAGCTGACGGCTAGTATCAAACACCAAGCTTGTGAGAGCCTTCGGATAATTCAAGGCCCCGGCCTTGGAGCTGTCTCAGATGACCCCAAGTGGAGCAGAGAGCCATGCGAGCCCAGTCTAAATTGCCATATGTATATGTGTATGTGTGTGTGCATGTGTATGTATATACGAGTGCGTGTGTATGTTCAAAGATAAACAAAGCCAGACACTAACTAAAGTGATAACAACACATTTTAATCAGTAATATACTATTTTAGTAGGGAAAGGAGTCCACAGAGAACTAAACTCAACTTTGATTTGTATGGAGGTGACTGGAGTTTTAAAAGGAGAATGAGGGACTAGGGAGGCGGTGAGGGAGGCTCAGTAGAGTCATGGGAGTGAAAAATTACAAAAAGCTGGAAGGAGAGTTTGGTCCATGTGAAACACATCTGGATTTGGTAACTGGTGCTCATGGAAGTTAGGCTCCTACCTTCCCACAGAGGCTGAGAGACAGAGACCCTATCCTCACGCGTTGACGGGTACAAACAGTAAATCTTTTGGCAGCCTTGCGCTTTCCCAGGCAGATACTTGAAGGTGGCTAGTATCATCCTGGGGATGGAGCTGTTAGAAACTATGTTGGTGTTTACTCAAGTCTTTATAAGCCAAAGGAAGGCCCTAGTGGAGAAAGGGCTCAGAGGATCCTGACTAGAGCGTGTTCAAAGAAAGAATCCTTGTCAGTGTGCACACACACAAGTATTTTGTTTGATTTGGTGATTATAGGTCATTGGGGACCTTTGAAATAGCTTGTTTCAGCAGAAGGTAGCTTGCAGGAGTTTAAAATTTGAGCAAGGAAAATAAATTTGAGGGCCTTCTACATGTCAACCTCTTCCTTTAATTTTCACACCTTGGAGGTGGCTATTATTCTTCATTTACCCATGTAGCTCAGAAAGGTGAATTGCCCCAAGCCATTAACAAGTAGAGGGAGGGATTAACACGTAGGGCCGGCGGATTTCTAGGACTGTATGCTTTCCCTTACCCCACGCTCTCCAAAAAGGGGTAAAAGGAGACTGGTCCAGACGGACAAAATCCTCATCTCTGTATTTTGGAGAAGCTGAAGGAGCCCAAGTAGTAGAGAGAGTGGAGAGTTCACAAGCTATTAACTAGAGACAAGCTGTCACAAATTTCTGAAAACTTCCAGTAAGATGGAAGCAAAATAAAAAGGTGGTTCGGGTCACGCGGGCTCTCGGGCGGCTCAGCTCCAGGCTTGGGGACGGAACCGCGGCCCGCGCTCCTCGGACGGCCGCTTTGGCCGGGCTTTGGCCTGGGCCGGACGTGGCAGTGGAGGAAACGGCCACTGCTTGACACTGAGCTCGGACAGGCGCTCCGAGAGGCAAGGCCGGGGCCGCCGTGGCCTCGGAGGGGCTCCCGGCTCCCCATCCGCCCCGGAGCGCGCC